ACGTAGGTTCTACATATATATATATTATATATATATGTATTATATATATATATATAAAACAAGAAAAAAAATATATATATATATATAAATTATACATATAAAATGGAGAGAAGAAAACAACTATCGTTGATCGCTATACTAAGCAAGTAGATATATATACATATATATATATATATATATATTATATTAAAGAACATATATTAGCGTGTCAGTATAACAATTTGTAAATGTGCGTCGCGGTACGTTTATATTAAAGATGCATTGACACTCATGCAAATCAGAAAAAAATCAATTATGAGAAAAAAAAAACATCGATAAAAATGTGAACTATGTAGAAAAGTAACTGATGGATGTTGGTAGTGGATGTTTTGTATATGACAATGTCAATTGTAAATGCATTCGGCTTTTTTCTAAACTTTTATTTTTTCTAAAGATATTTTTATATAATACCTGAAAATCTTACTTGGAATTATACTATGTTCGCCAAGTCGAATTAAATATAAACAAAACCATATGATCAAAATTTAGGGGAATCAAAATCGGCTTTACAATTCTAAGATATAAAATAAAAAATTTACTTTTTTTGCAACTTATTTACAGAATGATTTCTAGTAAAGTATATGTAATGTAATAAAAAAAAAAAAGTATAAATTATTTTTAAGATAAATATTTATAAAATTCATCAATAGCGATAGTATTAATTGAAATATATAGTCATTAATTGAAATCATATCATTTGTTATATGATTTGATATATTTATTTCTGACAATTCGATTTGATAAATATAATAAAATATAAAGATTTATCAGATATACAAATTAATTCATGACCTTTTTTTTTCATAAATTTGATACTTATTTACAAAAAAACAAAATTTAAACAATTTAATTTGAAAAATGATTTTCGTTATTTTCTACATATTTAGATTAGAAAATTTCTAGCATTGTAATATAATAATATTATTTATAATTTAATATGTCGTTTATCAAACAAAACCATATGTTAAATATAATAGTATTGTATTTAATACTATTATTTAAGATTATGTTATTATTATATGTTAATATTGATTTAGATTTTGTTTTGCTAATGATAGAAATTTTTAAAGTTCAATGATTTTCAAAAATCTAAATATAGCGAATATAATTTGAATTTAAAATAAAATTATTTAATTAATTAATTGTGAGAATTACGAATTAATTTGTACTTCTAATATATATATTATTATTAAGAATATTTTTAAAAATATTTTTTTTAGATTATATTTTAGATTAAAAATATTGTCAGATGTTTTTTTCATGATAAAGCTTGATAAAGCCGAATGCAATCAATGAAAATATCAGTAAAAACACAATACGTGAAACAACATCAAAACCAAATAGAATTTTCTGCAATATAATAATTTACATTAATTATGAGAATTTTTTATACTTAGAAAGTATAAATATATTCTTCGCTATTTTCGCGTCATGCGTATTCATTTGTTTAAGTTTGCTTTAAGATTAGCATCGTAGTGAATATTCTCGCGATAAAAAATAGAGACAAAATGAAAAATCACTATGAAATAAATAAATGATCTGTTTCATCGTATATTACATTCAGTATCAGCATATAAGTAAGCATGTAAGTTTGCAAATTAGCAAGCCAAACACGACGGATATAAGAGAATTTCCGCTTTTGAGGACTGACTTTTTTATGTCATTCTAAATAAATAATAATTATAATAATAAAAATAATGATAATAATAATAATATTAATAATATCAATAATGATAATATAAAAAATAATAAATAAAGATGTGCGTTTGAATTGCTAATAATTAATAATAATAATAATAATAATAATAATAATTATAGTAGTAGTAGTAGTAGTAATAATAATAATAATAATAATAATAACAATAACAATAATAATAATAATAAATAATAATAATATATTTTAAGGCATGTTTTCATCCTGCGTGTTTGGCCAAGATTTTCTATTGTTTATGAAAAAATTATTTGTTCTGTTGTATCTGTTGTGACATTGTTGATCTCGATGACGACCGATGTTCATTGAAATGATAATTGATTAAGAATTAAAATAATTATCAATAGGATCAAGAAAAAATATCGAGGCTTTTACACTCGAACACTTATTTACAAGTGATCACTCAGATTTTCTTTTTAAATTTTGTATAAATTTTTAGTATAAACTAAGATTTATCTAAAAAAAAATGATAGATACTAGAAGAATTCTTTAAGATATTAAATATTACTATGAAAAATAAACATGAATATCTATATTAAATAGATTAAGTAAATAAAAATTGATTCGAGTGTGAAGGCTTAATTATTAATTAACCGGAAATTGGAAATTATACTTTATTTTCATTTAATTTCAACATATAATCTGCCAACATAATCGATAATAACATAAAAAAAAAAATAACAATTAATAAATTTGAAACTAAAATGTATCATATAACAATATAAATCATTATTATTTTCAATGACATAAATAATTACTAAAAATAGAATTATCGATTCTAAAAATTTTCAGTGTATTTTTTATTATGATCATTATTTTTACTATCGATAATAGATTGGCAGTTAATGCACTAAATGTGATGCTTGATAATGAATCGATGAGTCAAATAATAATAAAAAAAAAAATCATAAAAAATAAGATTCTAATATCATCATATTTTGGTGATAATTTAGACAAAGTTAAGTCCATATAAATTCAAGAGAAAAAATCGATGATATATGTGATTATCAGTTGAATTATAAATCAATAGTAGACATATCGTAGAACATGACTATTTCAAAGAGATAGTATTACTGTTGTTCTGTTGATAGTTTGTATAGATTTTATTGTACCGTGACCGCATCGCGTGCTCTTATTAAACGTTCATTTAGTTGCTAAAAAGTAAAAAACAATTAACTTATTAACAAACAACATCATCGATAAATTTGTTAAATATCTATAATAACCCAATATTGTTTTGTTTATCAAAAATGTTACAATTTCTTATTTATCAAAATATATTTGGAAATGCATCGCTTCTGGAAGATAATTCAAAAGTTTAATAGAGTTTATAGTAAAATATTTAGGAAATCTTTTCAACAATTTAAAAGAAAATTAATATTTCCTGTTTTTCTAATTAAATTTATAATTAAATCTTAACAGATTAAATTATCTAATATTTTATTCAATATTTAATATTTATCTTTATTTTATTCAATATTTAATAAAAATTTACATATTAATTATGGAATTAAAAAAAATAATGAAAATCAAATATGGATTTTAATTAAATATTTTATATTTTTTTTTTTTTATAATAGACATTTATATATAGATGTAATTATTTTATAGAATTATTTTAAGAAATTGAATGATTCAAAAAATAGAGCAAATATCTCTATTTGCTAAATAGAAATAATATATATATCAATTGTTATAATTATTATACAAAATTAATCTAATTTAAAAATATAAATTCTTTAGGAAATTCAATATCAATCTTTTGAAATTTACAAATAAAATTTCTAAATTTTATGTTTTCTATAATATTTAAAAAAACAAAATAATCTTGAAAGTTCCACGAGACGCGGCCATGTTTAAGCAGGACTATTTTTCTAAGTTGCAGAGCATAATAAATAATGTTATATTATCGTTATTACACATTCATTGAATCAAATCACTAGACAAATAAAATCACATGATCAAAATCTAGGGAAACCAGGGTCAACAATTTTTATATAAAGTAGAAAGCTATTTTTTTCACATATTAATTCATTCACAAAATTATTCATTGTTAATTACATTAATATTAACATAAACATTAAAACAACGAACATAAATTGTTGAAATAAAAATTGTTAAATAAATACAATCCATTTTCAAAAAATTATCAATACTTATAGATAATAATGTTCAATGAATATTTTAAATTATTTATATGAACTAATAATGCTAATATTTTATTAGTTAATACCTAATTTATAGCACGTGATTTACTTTGTTTCAGATGATTTGATCCTGTGAATGATGTATAGTATATATTATATTGTATATTAATATTTTAACTAGCCGAATATGTAACTATGAGATAATGTTCAAACATAGTAAATGAACTGCATTGCTGCATATAATATAAATATGTAGATATCCTTGCAATATCAACTATCAACTAATCATACCGGTTTGCACTTGAGGTCAGTGCATGCGCGCACTGCGACGCATTTATTAGCCTAATAATTAAAATTGAAATAAAAACAAAAAGCAAAAAAGGTATGAACGGGGATTAAAAAATCATATAGAATATGATTTTTGAGTTGCAAATACGTAATTTAAAATTCCAGCGCCAATCGATTCGCGATCAAGGAAGTACAACGGATATGAGTTAGTCAAAGAAAAGAAAAAGTCCTAGATGCGTGTAATACAAAGCTGGAACCACGTTAATATGGATAATGTGCTGTGTATGCGCGCGCGCGTCTATGCATGAATGAACAAAAATAAAAAATAATATGATTACGATGTTGGTTTTTGACCAGAGAACAAAATTAAAAATATAAATCGTTCTGTCAGTCACCTTACATATATTATATAACATCATATTACTATGCTGCCATATAATATAAATATATGTCTACAGTAAGAAATATATTAATAAAATATTATAAATAAATATGTTATAAGTACTTTGTGATCTTATTTCTTTAACTCAAAGATTTAATTCTTTTTTTTAATTTTTCTTTTCTTTATAATTTCATAGAATGATTATTAGCACTATAGTAAATATTTATAAATATAAGACTTTATTTTTTTTTAATAATATTATTTCAAAAATTCTATAAAAAACGATGGATAATTTTAAATTTCTATTGCTGTGTTCTACATTAATATAGATTAAAAAATGTTTTACTAAATGATGCTTTATGTGATTATAGTTTCGTAGTTTGTTAAACTAGTAAAAGATGATTTAGTGATCAATTGTACTTGTAGAGGGGAGTGTAACTTACGTACAGACTTATCATATAGTTTAACACATAACCTCAATGTTGCAATGTCTAAAACTTTTAGAAATTTTTGTGGAAATGTATAAAGTGTATAATATTGGATTTTTATATTCTTTGTGATTATCATTAAATTGTTCAATTTTTCTTTCTCTTTAACTTTACAATTATTTAAACATGTAAGCCTACATTTTGAGGTTATGAATGAATTTCATTATTTATAAGAAAATATATTTTCTTTTTATATGTACGTAAAATTAGCGATTAGTTTTGTATTAAATAATCAAATTATCGAAAATCAAACATTTCTTTAACATTATATTTATTGAATTTTTATTTTTGCAGATATTTTTGTCTAACATAATTTATGTTTTATTATGAAGCGACGTCAAAGAAGGCCTGTTTTAGAACTTAATCAGTCTCAATCTGGTTCTCATGAAGAATATATACAAAGTAAAAATATATAATATTTAAAAAATTTTTATTAAATAAATATTTTTATTTATTTATTATTAAAAAATTATATAAGATATAATTTTAAAAAAATAAATTTTTAATAAAAATTTATAGATACAAATCGAAATTTTATATAATATCTTATTACTATGTTTTTTTAGACAAACGCAAACATATAAATAATGATTACCAAGGACAAAATGTACCTGTTAATCCATTGGCAAATTTACTTTGCCATTATAATTCAGATAGTGATACTGAAGATTCTAAGAAAGATTATAAATTAGATGATCAAGTTAATAATTTTTTTAAAGTAAGTAAAATCTTCTGGAATTATAATTTTTTAAACAATATGTGTAAAAAAATATAAAATAAATTAAATATTAATTATAAAAAAAATTAAATATTTGGAATTTTATAGGAAATTCAATTGATTGCACCTAAGCAATCACTTTCAAAGGAATCTAACAATGTTGCCTTAACAACAAATTCTAATATTCACTTATCACATCATATAAAGCAACAAGCATTCAGTAAAATTTTATTATATTTATTTTTAAATTCAAAGGATATTTTTGCAATATTTTATTAATAAATATTTTTATTTAATAATAAAAATATTTTTAGTGTGGCGTGAATGTTTAGATGAATCTTCAGGTTATCCTTACTATTGGCATATTGAAACTAATGAAGTAACATGGGAAATGCCAGATGAATTGCGATATTTAAAAAATAATGTTAAAACAAGTTCTGTTATAAAATCACAACCAATGCAAGAATCTCATTGGGTTGATTTTTCATCTGTTACATGTAATTAAATTTTTCAATATATATAAAGATATGTAATTTAATATTTAATATATAATTTATAATAAATACATATTATTATATATAATCTTTTCAGACCAACAACCTCATGAAAATATACCAGAAGGTATGATACCAAGAGAAGTAGTAGCTCGAAATCGTAATAGATATATTTGCAATGAAACTGTCCAAAAGCAAGAATTTCAAACTGATCAAGATACTGCAAATACATCTGATACCATGGATAACGATTCTGATGATGGGTATAGAGTTAAAATATTAATATTTTCTTATAATTAATTCAATAAATTTCTTAGAAAAAAATTTAATGATTTAGGAAGATAGAAATGATTACATCTTATGGGAGTGATGAAAGTGATTCAGATACAACTGATGACAATTTATTAAAAAATAATACATCTTCTATAATTGAATCAAAGAATATAGATTCAGTAAAATTAAAATGCAATGAAAAATATTCTTTGTCACTTCCTTTAATGCAATCACAATTAATTTCTCAAAATATAAATCATAAATATGAAGAAAAAGACAATATGGAAGAATCAGTAACAGAATTATTGGATTTGAAATCAATTGAAGGAACAGAAATGAAATACTTAAAAAACCAAATTAAACAACAAAATGTAGTTCAAAGAATAAATGAATGTGTGGATAAACTTAACGATAATCGATTTATTATGAAATCTATAACAAAAAAAAACAATAGCAAACATAACGTTAATTCTGATGTAGATTTTCGCATTTCTTTGGTACCTGGTTATGATGAAGATTCAGATGTTGAAGAAGAAGTTAAGCAGGAAAAGAAAGTTCTATTTCCAATTCCTCAAATTGATGAAATTACAGAAAATGTATCATCATATAAAAGTACATTTGATGATCAAATAGTGAATAGTAATGATGATATTAATATTGAAAGAAAAAATATATTAGAACAAAATAACGAAGACATTTTGGAAAAATTGGAATGTAGAGATGATTCCGAAACTAAATCAGAAGAAGATATACAAAAAGGAAACAAATTTATTGATAATTTGCACAATCGAAATAAATATTTTCAAAGAAAAAAACGGATTGCATTTGATGGTAAAAATATTTTATAAATTAATAAGAATTATTAAAAAGATTAAATTCAAATGTAATAAATTTTTTCAGTTCCATCTACAAAAATAAAAATAAATGATGATAATGAAGCAAGTAAATCGGAAGGAGACATACAACGCGAAGAAATAAATTCTTCTGATGAGAATTTTAATGAAGTTCGAATTGGCCAACAAGAAGAATCTAATTCTGTAATCGAGAATATAGAGGAAAATATTTCAAATTTCAAAAATGAATTGAGTAATATTGAAGAAGAAATAAATAATTCAGAATCAAATAATGAATCTAAAGAAAATGAAGAAGAAGTTAATCTATTATCACAAATCATACTTGAGAAACTGAAATTTTTATCAGAAGGAAAACCAGGTGTATTGCCAGTTCAGTTGATGTCTATTCAATTACAAGTAAATAAAATTCTTATTTCAATATTTCATTATATAATTATAATTTCATTATAAAAAAATAAATAATAAAAATATTGTATATTGTATTTCAGACATTGTTTGTTGCATGGGAGGCAGGTTGTTTAGAAAAGAATTATTTGCGAAAATGGTTGTGTGACACCAGTCACGAATTGGAACGCTTGGAACAAGATGCAGCACCATCTGGATGGCTATGTCAGTGGGATAGGTATAGTATACCATCTAAAATTTGTGTATTATTTCATATAAATAAACATGAATCGTACCAAGACATACAAGACATCGTGTATGTTATACACGTCATTATTTTAAAAATTTTCAAGTCATATAATTTTCGCACGTATCGTTACAGTGAGATATAAAATGGTGAAAACGAATGATTAAAAATTTTATTTCAAATTAATTTTCTTCATATTATTCATTCTAATAAAATTATATTTTGAATTTGGAAAAATATAATGTCCGAATTTCTTTTGCTTTGAATTTCTCATAATGTATGTTTAAAATGTAATGTTTAAAAAATTAAATAGAAAATTTTTATATTTTTATTAAGAAAACAGAAACTTAATCAATTTGATTTTATCAATTTCAGAGTAAAACTTTAAAAAATTTCTTACAAAGTTTTTAGGATCATTAATTTTGCTAATATCTTTTAGAAAAAAATATTTAAATCAAATCTAAATTCATTGAAATCTTACATAAATGTGCGAAAGATACCGCGTTATCATAAATAATACTAAAAAGATAGGTCTGTGTTCAGAGTGGAGCCTTAAAGACCATATGTGTAATATATATCTGAAATATCTGATGAACAAAAAATGTATGGAAAAATTAATAAACTGTTAGTGATTTAAAATATGAAGATTATAATATCCAATATATTTAAATATGTCAAGAAACAAAATTTTAAAATAATGAAAGAAAACTTATTTCGGCTAAATGAAGAAACAGAAACTGCATCAAACAATACAAGTGGATAAAATAATTCATTAAAAATATATTCATGGAATTTTTAAAACATTGAAAAAAAAACATAAATTATGTAACTTAAAAAAGCTACTTACTATCTTAAGGGAATAGATGAAAACAGGGAAGATCGTTGCTGGAAGGAAATATTAAGTGTTAAAAGAAGTTCACATCAAGTTAACTCAAGTTCTTCTTGGATGAAACCTCATGAAGAAACTCAAAATCTCAAGAAATTATATTCGCCGAAAGTTATCGAGTAATTGGAATAACTCAAGGAATACCAAAGTTGTTAGTCGTGTATTAAAATAACAATACTTGTAGACAATCGTAACACATATGTTATAAGAAATTATTTTTTTCTTATATTATATTCTATGTACATATTTTTAATGTCACATATATACGTCATTTGTTTCTTGTTCAAAAAAATACATTCCATCATGTCTAACAATTTGTTTAAATGTGGCGATTCAAAGACGTTTCCCTTAGTTTGTCAACAAGTGCACATCATCGTATATCTTCGAAAATCATTTTCTGGCCCTTGCGCCTTTAATTACACACATAATCAATTCACTTAATATTTCGCTAGCGTAACGCAGACGTTGTCGACGTAATTCTCAATGTTCGTGTTGCGGAAGACAGCGGCTTCTATGTAACTGCTAAGTAACACTTAATCCTTTTGTAATAAAAGGGCCTCGCTGACTTAATGGCACGCCGAGTTGCAGGTAGGAGTATTAACTGATTGTTTTCTAGCTAATAAATTGCTTCAGAACTCAAGGAGAACGTTCCTTTCATGGAGTAACGTCTCTCTAATGTTTGTTAATGTAAAAAAAGTATTCAAATAAACCTTTTTTATCTATCATTGTATTATATATTTTTGCGGGCTTTTTTCCAGGTCGCATAAGCGATATTATTACCAGAACACTACCACTGGAATTACACAATGGACCTATCCAGATACTAGCATCGCCGGTGGAGCTGAAGAAATGGAAATTTGTTCCACACCTCCTCCAATGGAACAAGAAGAAATTATTATACCTGGTATAATGAAATTATTATTATAAGTAACATGTATAATATATTTCTTTCATATTTGCCAATTAGTATTTATATTTGCCAATAGAAGAAGATGGATTGAGATCAAAGCCAAAGGAATCACAGGAAAATGGTGAGATAACTGAAGATATGACAATTCTAAGGAACAATGACATAGAAGCTCCACCTCCACCTCAAATTTCAAATCCAAGTCCACCTCCGCCGCCAAGAATTTATGCAGAAGATTTAAAAAGAGACAAGAAAAAACAAGATAAATGTAATGAAAATTTGAATGACAAAAAACATTTGGGAGAAGGTAAATCTTTGTTATATAAATTTTTCTTTTTACATAGAATTTTAAATCTAATTTAATATATTTTCTTCTTTAGAAAGAACAGGAATTATAGAAATAAAGCAGTTGGAAAATTCTACTGCATTATCGTCTGCCTTATTATCACCTCAACCTTCTAATCTTGTAAATGTAACTAGCGCGGAACCTCTGCCGCCAGGAGTAGATTTAACCGAAGCACCTTACGAAATATCTGCAACAGCATTAAAAAGAATTATATATGGTGCTGTGCAACCACCAGGTAGTGCTCTTTATGATACAACTGCAAGAGATCCAACAGTTTCTATTCTAAGTCATCCAGCGACAATAGTACAAGAACATTATCTTCAATATCCAGCATATCATCAACATTTGCATGCTGTATGTTATTAAATAGATTGATATATAGTAATTTTTAATCAGTAATTTCTACAATTAATTTTTTATATTTGTCAAATAGCCAGCGGCCTTAGTACTTCCACATAAGCATAGTGTACAGCCTGCAATTCAATTAATACCTGATTATACTCCAATATATACAAATCATAAAGTCATTGAAAAACCGCCAGTTAAAACAGCAAAGGAATCTCTTGTATCTGCTTTAGATTCATTTTATAATGATATTGCACGTATAGAAAATATTGAAGCAGAAAAAATTTCTCAAAGACAAGAAAATCCAGTGGAAGTATCTTCTTTATCAATAGAAGAAGTAAAAGTGGAAACAGAACAAGAATCTATTCCTTTTGAAACTACTATAAAAGAAAAAAAAAGAAAAAGGGTAAATATATATATAATATATAATAAAAAATAGAATTATAAATTTCATAAATTATTAATTAAAAAAAAATAATATTATATTATTATTTCAGACAAGAATTGGTATTAGTAAGAAACATAAAGAAGTGTCTAGTATGGTAGCAAAATGGCAAAAAGTACAACAGAATTTTGAAAATACATAAATTGGTTAGTTAATCTAACATTTAAATGATATTTTTTTATATTTTTTTAAAAAATATATATATTTTACATATAAAATTTAAAATATTATTTTTTTAGCTGCAACTTGCTGATATTTAATTCATTCAACACAAATAGCGCACTATACTTTTTTCAGTATAGTGTTTCTGTACCTGTAATTAATATTATTATCCTACGCACTTTTTTTTATCTTTAAAATTCAAGAAACTTAACAAAAGAAATGTGAAAAATAATGTAAAAATAAACAGTTTCTGAAAAATAATGTAAATTTCAAAAACATGTATTTTTTTTATTTTTGTGTAGAAAGTATAAACTGATTAGTTTGAATGCTTATCAATTATAAAAGAAATACATTATCATGATTTATAAGTATTTGAAATAAAAAAATATTGTAATTTAATCATATACAATTCCATTATTTTTATGTATTTAGATTTATATTATATTTTTCAAAATTTAGAACTTTATTAATTTTCACTGAATCATAAAAAAAAAAACAAAGGAAATGACAATCGCAAAAGAAACAGCTAGACAATTCTGCATTGCTATTCTCTGCTTTATTATATTATTATTATGGTCTTAGCCTTTCAATCTCACAAAATCTCTCTTTAAAAAAGATTTGAATGATTTTTATTTTATAAATATTGAAAAATATAAATAGTTTATTTTTAAAAGTGATGGCTATTTGTTTGTTTAAAGTTTTAAAAACAAAATAAAATAAAATATTTTGATTATTCTTAAATATTTTCGTAATTAAAAAATTTTAAGAAAATTATTGAGAATTTAGTATAATTGTATTTTTTGTAAAAATTTATTTATAATATTATATTTGTTACATAATTCTTTTTGTAATAATATGTATATATGTGATTAATAAAAAAGAAACATATATATATATTATATGAAAGAACAATTATAAAATTCATAGTTATTTAAATCTCTATTTTTAATTTCAATTCTAATAAATGAAAATTTAAATGTAAGTGAAGTTAAATTACAAATTTTTAATTAAAAAAAATTATATTATTTAAAGTTTTTAATTTTAAAAATATTTAAATTTAATTAGTTTTTTGAAAAAGTTTATCAAAATCATAAGTGAATGGTTATATAATCCAATTTATTATTAGATAATATAATAAAAAAAATAGAAAATATAATGAGTACTTCAAATATTAGTGATAAAAAAGTAGTATCTGAATTACGGAAAAAACTCACGCAGGATCCAAATTTAATCAATCCTTGTTTAGAGGTAATATTATTTAATCTTTTAAGGTTATATTTCTACTTTTACTTATTAAAAAATATTTAAAATAAAAAAAATAAATAAATATATATTAATAATTTTGCAATTAATTATAATTTCAATTAATAATTTAATAATTTTTAATTTTTTTTAACTTAAAAGTTCATTAATAGATTATTATTTAATCTTAAAAATATATACATATACATAATTTATTTTATTATATATTTTTTTATTTTTTTCAGGAATATAATTTTACTGCAAAATGTTTAGAAAAAAATAAATATGATTATAATAAATGTTTATTATATGTTGAAAATTATAAAATCTGCAAAAAATTTTGGGTAATTGTATATGTATTATTAAATATAATTATTGCATTGTAAAAATATTTTATACATTTTATTATTTTAGGCAAAAATAATAAATTATCGAAAGATAAAAAATATAAAACCCTATATTCCTTTACCAGAAGAACGACAAAAAATAAAAGCAGAATATTTACAATCACAAAATAAATAGTTCACATAATTTTGACATACTGAAGAATTGTAATTGTATAATGGATTGAAATTTTTTTTTTTTATTATAAAGAATTAATTCATCCTTATTAATTAAATAATAATAACTTATCAAAATTTGCCAAAATTTGATAAATTTTATTAATATTTAACATGTATATTTATTTAGATTTATTAAGATATTATTAAGAATTATTATAAAACATTTTTTTTAAGAATGTATTTATAGTTTCTTTAAATCTGTATAAATAATTAAAAACAAAATCTTAAATTTAATTGTTATCATTGCTTAATTTAAATTAATTTCTAGGTTTAAAAATAAAATATTTTTTTATAACTTTATATTCATAAAATGAAGTTAATAATGATATAATAATGATCATTCATTTAAATTATATATATATATAATTTTATAGTTATAATTTAATTATAGTTATCAAATAAAATAAACATATAACTGTTTTGCGTTTTTAATTATATTATCAATAGATTAAAAATATATAAATAAAATGTACATATATAACTTTTAGGAATAAACAAAATATAATTTATGTAAAATTGTTTTTATCTTTGGCAAAAACGAAGATTTGAGGAATAATACATTATACATATTATATTCGATGAGTTATAACAATATAAACTTACAAACAATATGTTATTACATATGAGAAAAAATTAAATATCTAAAGAATAAAGTTACATAAGAATACTTCAATTAAAATAGATTACATAGTTTTTAGATTACTATTTATACAAGTGTATTCATAAATATTTCAGTTAAAAAATTTAACATTTCGAAGTTGTTTCATGTTTACTAATTTTTTTTTTTAACTATTTATATACATATACTAAAATTTACAAAAAATTTGTTACCACTATTTAACATTCTAAGATTTCAAACAAATGCAAATTTGTTTTTTTTATAAAATGTAATATAACTCTTACAGAGTATTTCTAAAATTATAATTATTAATAATATGAAATAGACTAATAATGTATTAAATTAACAAGTAAAAAATTTAACTGAATATTCATATAATCATTTCAAACTTTATGATGCAGTCATTAAATGGAATCAAATGTAATTATCAAATAGAATCAATTAAAATTTATAATAATAGATTTTTAAATAAATTAATTTTTTCATGACTTATGATTTATTTCTAAAACGTGGGAAATATTATTTGATTTAGATTAAATTGATGTTTTGAATCCATTATAGAAATCCATCCATTCATAGAAATAAAAAAATAATTCAAATAATAATTGAAATTTACATTCTTTTACAATCGGCTATTGTCTCAATATATTTTTCATGAAAATTTAATTAAAATTATTAATATGTATTTGATTATAATAAATCGAAATTAATAAAAAAAAGAATTAATTATTATATAATCCCGATGTTAAAAAAATTATTATACATTTCTGATTATGATTTTATATATTTTTCCCACGTTAAAAATTTACATTTTTTTATTTCATTTTAGAAACATGAAGCAAATTTTTTAATTAATTTTATTAATTCTCGACTTCTTCAGTCTAGCTCAAAATTTATTGATTTATTATTCGTGTATTAATACACGAAATTTTGTACATTTGCAAAAATATTTCATTATTGAAAACTGATTACTATAAGTATAATATAACATATACATGCATTTTTACTCAAAATAAATAATCTCTTTCATATATCTTATTACAGATGTATACCAACATTATATCTAACTCTTATCTCCATCCAACTTATATTATTCCAACTTGCTCAGAGTTTTCATATATTATGAAAACTTCTTTCTTTAATAATTATTTTAAATAAAAAAATTTACACACAGATCTTTGCAAAAATTTAGAGTTAAAATAACTCTAAATTTCTGCAGAGAACAAGATATTCATTTCATGAGAATATTGAGCAAGTTAGACTTATAATTTGATTTCTCAGACAATACATATTAAAAACGAAGAATTTGATGTGTATTCAAAGCTAAAAGCTTCGCATGTGTAAAAATAAATATTCTACGCACAGTCAGAGTTACGAACAGAAAAATTCATAAAATAATTATGTAATTATATCATAATAATATAAGATTAAATTTATCTCTGCAAATGAATAATTAATATTACATAACAGTTATTTCTTCTTTTGGATATGATCAATGATGATTACATATTTGAATGAACTGTTACTATCTACTGTTAAGTATTTGCATATTTATAATCAAAATGCATTTTTTTCTTATTAATCGATAATTTCAAAATTTCTTTCTGCTCTATACTTACTCGTTCGTAGCTCTTTCCGACCGTTTGTTTATATTTCTTCGTTTTTAACATGTATCGTCAGCAAGTAGTCAGTCTGTACGATCTTTAATACGGAATGTATAAATACGAAAATGACGACACATTTGACGTACCTAAAGAAATAATAATTTATTATTAATAATCAAATATTTTGTTTAAAATATTAAAATAAATCTTACCACACATGTTCCATAATGAATATGTGCTAATAAAGCTATAATGGCAAGAATATATGTAAACACTAGGTCTATGTTAGGTAAGATAAATGAGAATACTGCTGCAACTGCTATAGGTAGTAGTATCCATGATAATAGTTCACATCTAGTATTGCTCATTTGTGATACAATTAAACGACACTGTAAATTTTAAAAAGCATTAATTTTTTAATAATCAAATAATTTTGTATTAATTATCTGATATCTTTCTCTTACACATATATTTGAAAAGATAGTTCCAATTGCTAAAAAAATTATTCTGGGATCTTTCTCTATGATATTACTAGGTGAATGGACTATCCAAATTGTTGAAATCATGAAGAGTACTGCTAAAGGCAATAAAGGTCTTATAGCATCTACAAATGTTCGCATTTTACCAGTTTTATCTCTATATGATCTAAAAATTGAAAATACTTTTTAAACAAAAATCATGAACAAAAAACAAATTATATCAATTTAATTGCACTGACTTGTATATATTCCACAACACCACAGGTAAACTAGATACAATTGCAGTAACATAAAGTAATATTTCAAACATCACTCCCACTGGTATACCACCAGGAAAAACAATTTTCCAAGTTCTATGTCCACCTATACTAGATATGATAAAAACAATAATAGTACCCTAAAAATTTTTAAGGTAATCATAAATTATTATATCATTTTATTTATGTCTATTAGTAATTTGCTAAATATTTTAAAATAGAAACTTACTACCATAGATAGATCATATCCCCAAGGAAGGAATAAGACCCCTGTATTATACTTTTCCCAATGAGTCAAATAGAAACTGATAAACACATTCCATAAGATGAAATACATTCTTAATGGTGATACACTAAAATCTGTCCGTCCAAAGACAGAAAACATACAAACACTAATAAGCATTGTTGTCCAACTGTCTAATCCGTGATCAAATAATTCTCCTAAAGGTCCAGATGTCTGTGTACGTCGTGCTTGTTTCCCATCAATACCATCTGCAAAATGAACATTATATTAAATATAATTATTTTATAAGTAAGTTAAGGATAAAATTATACTTACCAAGAGTATATGCCATAAATACATTGAATGCACCTAAGGCAAAAACCCATCTTGGTATAGGGGGATATTGTGATTTATCATCACTTGATGCATATAAATAATAATCATAAAATGCAAATAATGTAAAGTTGAACACAGTAAAAAGAAATCCAAAGAAAGTTAATACATTTGGAGCAACCCATTTTGGACAGTACTGAAAAAAAATTTTAAATCAATGTAATTAATTTTAAAAAATTAATTATAAAAATAAATTTTAATAGAAAACATACATGAACTATTTTATTCCAAAATGGATGCATAATGTATACACTAAGAGGACTTGTATCCACTGAATTATACTGAAAATATAAAAATTAATTAATTATAATAAAATTCATAGATTTTTAAATCTTTTTTTAAATCAATTATCCTTAATATTTTAATTCTTAAAATAAAATAAATCTAAAATCTAAAAATAAAAATCTAAATAAATATTTTTAGATTACAAGTTTAATGTATAAATGAACTTTATATAATTATAAGTAATAATGAACTTTATAATAATAATAATATATATATATATATCATTTATATATTTATTATAAAACAACTATTAATTAATAATTAAAATAATTCAATTAATTAAAACAAATATTTATAATTAAAATTTTAGTAGCATAATAATATATCAATAATGTAACTTTCAAATTATAATAAATAATTATAATAATACAATTTCTTCAATAATTAACATATAATTTTATAAAATATAATAAAAACAACTTTATAATTTTTAAAAAAAATCTTATTAAAAAATATTTTATTAAATTCAAGAAGTAATTTATAAGAATTTTAATTGTAGAAAATCAAAATTATAGAATATCACTAAAAAAGTGAAAATAATTATCCACATAAAAAACTTACTTTATAAGTCTCGAAGCCGGTAAGATGTTGCTCAGTAAGGTATTCGACTTCAAAACTTAGTTTCTGATACATTGTAATGCGAAAAATGCGTCTAACCACTATGTTTTAGAAAGATGCACTTCAATCCTATTATGGAATCAATTAATTCTATTTAACTTCATCGAAATGTTATTCGTATTCCTCGAAAATATTGTTCATATATTTAGGTTATAAATATACAGATACAGAAATTTATATTTTCACAAAGCACGTGCTTACTGTATCGTAGTTTGGTAAGCATCAATTCATAGTAACATCGATTTATATGAACAATATATACTCAAAAGTGATTTCTTTCCGGTATGCGGAATTTCTGAAGGCTAATTCTCACGTATTTGTAAAACCACAGTCAATTTAAATGAAATTAAAAGCGAACAGTAAAATAAAATTTTATCTATGAAACTGCGTATTGATGGTTATTTATTTTTAAATTGATTTGAAAGTAGACGTATCCTTGGAGAATATCTTGTTAGATAATGGTCGAAGATAATCCATTTGAAGGGGTCAGAATTGTATATATGTATATATATGTATATATATGTATATATATGTATATATATATATATATATATATATATATATATATCTCAATTTAAATATTTTACCATACTAATTATGTTTTAATATTTATTGAGTAAAATAAAATGTGAAATTATGTAAAAAATAAGAATCGAATGTTATTAACATTTAAATTATAATATTTAAAATAAATTGTTTAAATAAAAAAATAATTTTTTATTGAACTTGCATTGGACATACGTAACGAACATTAAATTATTAAATTTAATAATTATTAAATTTATTATTAAAATATTTTTACTTATAGATGATATATTATGATTTAAGTTGATCTAGTAGAGGTTAAATTAAAATCAAAAATTTTTTAATTGATTAAAATATATGTATTTTCTTTTTCATGAAAATAATACATTAATAGTTGTTGATATATTATTATAATAGTATAAGCTTGTATCAAAAACAAAACGCAACATTTAACAAATAATTTAGGATATAATAAATAAGAATTTTATAAATTTATATAGGTTATGTAATTAAAATTAACGATTTTTTAACATTCTAATTTATAATTTAATGTAAAATATATTTGATAATATTATTCTAAAGATAACTTTATTAAATAATACTTATAAAATTTAGTTTTTTATTATATTTTATTATAACTATATGTTACATATTATATTTTCTGCAACAATATTAGATTAGTTTACTAATATTAATATTCCAATACCTGAAAGATATTATAATAATAAATATAAATAATTATAATAAATCTAAATATAAATTGTATTAATAAGATTCTTACATATTACTTCAGCAAGTGATAACGAAGAACTAAGAAAGGAAGAGATAATCCACTTCCAAAGAAAAGAATGAAAGTTGTAGTTAATATATATCTATTTTGGATATTTATTGGAAGATTCTGTAATAATAAAATTTTTAGATTGATTTTAATCAATAATAAAGATAAATATAAAATAGTATAAAGATAATATTATTATATTATATTAATTTAATCAATAGTAATAATAAGAATATGTTAAAAAAGAATGCAATGATAATTTCAAGACTAATTTATCTAGAATTTATATGCCTTTTATTTTTATTTTTTATTAGAAAATGTTAAGTTAAATATTAGTAATATATTAGGCATGATACATATTATATAATAAAATATTATTTTTACTTACAGCACCAGGAAAACCTTCCGGTCCATGATCTTCACTTTTTCTTACAGTAGTAGTTTTGAAAGATCTTGTAAAATTTCGTAAAACTGTTCTTATAGCTGACATTTTTATAATTTCGTACTGTTTGTTATTACGTCTAGCCTTTTTGACAAAATGGCGATAAATCGTCTGCTTTGAACAAGTTCAAGCAGAATCGGGGTAATAGTAAATCAATTATCAGACTTTTATTCAAAGATAATAAAGTTACTAGAAATTACTAGTTATAGCTTCTCGTGATTTTATAAATCTTTATTATAAATTATAAACTTATATTATAAATTATAAACTTATTAATCAATACATTTTTATATTATTTAAAAACTTTATAAAATTTATAATTAGAAAAATAGATTTTTAAACCATTTAATAATATTAAATGATCGTATATATATAATATATAGAAATGCGTACGTAAATAAAATAACATTAATATATAAAGGAGAATAAAGCATGATTTATAATTCAAAGATGTAAAATAAAAAGATACTTACCCTTATATTAATTTATTTATGGAATTATTCGATGTTGAATAAATATAAAAGTTATGTCGATAAATAATGGTACACGTAACAATGATATATAATGATTTTGATATGAATATATCATTAGTCAATAACTAAAATCGCAATATCTATTTATTTCGCGATTTGATTTGTGTACATTTTTCGTAATTTAATTCATTGATATATAGTAATCAATAATATAGTATCAATGATAAAATGAATTAAAATGAAATAAAAATAAAATGAAACTTACTACCTTTTTGAATTCATGTAAAATAATCATTTTTCATTATATAACTAAACAATAAAACCTATAATGCAGTGTATTTAAATATGTATAGAAGAATATTTTAAACTTCTAATTTATTTTATAAAAATTAAATTACATTACAATTATTACAAATAACAATATTTATTTTTATTTACTTAAATGTTTTAAATACTATTATTGATTTAAATGTTTCGTAATGTATGATATTTCGGTTAAACTCAAAAGAATTATTTTGTCATATATAAAAATATGTTTTAACGTCAACTATAATTTCATATTATTAACCTGAAATATCATTTAATAAAAGTATGAAGAATTAAATAAAAATTTATTTAAAAATATTTTATTTTAAATTTGCTTATATTAATTTATATTATTCTCTTTTCTAATAATATTTTATATATTTTCAGTTTTTGTTAAAAAATTATCATGACTAATAACGTAGATCATCTAAACAAATATTTTAAGCAGACTTTGAAACCTGTAAGAACAAATGTAAGCTATACTGATTTGAAATATTTTTTATATTATTATTTATAAATTTTTATATGATAAACTAATTTAAATTTCTACTTTTTATTTTAAATATAATAATTTTAATAATTTCAATTTTTAGGTGCTAGAATGTCGTGTCTGTGAAGAAGTATTTACTATTGATGGAATAAAAGTACCAAGATTGTTACATTGTGGTCATACAGTATGTCATTCTTGTCTTTTGCGATTAAGACCTTGTATGACAGATCAACAGTTTTTATTGTGTCCTTTTGATAGACAGCCAACAGGCATTAGTCAGAATAATATTTATAATTTGAAGAAAAATTTTGCTTTGATTGAATTATTAGAAAGATTAGAACAGTCCAACAGTGAGAAATTACTGTTACTTGAAAGGGAAAGACTTCAATCTAGTCAATCTTGTGATGAAGATGAAGCTCATACTGCAGTATTATATTGTACAATTTGTATGACTCATTTATGTGAAAATTGTGATAGTATTATTCATTCTTCAAAAACATTAAGCAAACATAAGCGTGTACCTCTATCAGAGAAACCAAAAGATAAACCTAAATGTCCAGTACATACAACACATGTAGCAGAATTTACTTGTACTCAGGAAGGCTGTCACAATTCCCTTATGTGTTATTTATGCAAGGATTATGGTAGACATAGCACACATAAGGTAATAAATATATAAATAAATAAATTTATTTGTATAATATAATATAATCAAATTGTATAATAATAATATAATATAATATAATCAGTTCTACTATTTTATTTAATTGCAGTTAGCTTTAATAGAAGTTGAAGCAGAAAATATTAGAAAATCTATAATCACTGCTTTACAGAAAATGACTCAATTTATGGAGAGTATGAGAGATACAGCAAATAGAATTGGTATAATTATTTTTATATTTTAATTTCTTATTAAAAAATATAACTTCAATGTAAAGAGAAAATTAGTAAATTTATCAATCATTATTATTAGAAACAGTGATACAAGAGTTAGAAGGATGGACAATAGAAGATGCAAGACAAAGAGTACGTCAACACTTTGAGGAATTAAGAGCTCTTTTGGCTGATCAAGAAAATGCAGCTATATCTTGTGTTGAAACAGAAACACGTGAGAGATTATGCGCTCTGAGACAACAACAACAAGATTTAACTACTACAAGATCTCAGGTAGCTGATGTGTGCATTCAATGTGAAAGCATTTTAGATTCTGAAGATTGGAAACTATTAACTAGTGCAACAAAAGTTAAAGAAGTGTTAACTACGTTGGAACAACAACAACAACATTATGCTCAACTTGATCCTGATTTTCTCACACCTGAATCTTCTATACCTATAATATTCAGTCGGGTACATTCATTATTGGATACTATCATTGAATCAAAAAATTAGAAATTGATATTGTCAATATAATTTTCTGATTTGAAAGATAAAATGCAAAAATATTCAACATAAATTTTATAAAAAATAATTCATAATACATATAATTTTATTTGTAGGACAATAGAGTACATATTGGTACAAAAATTGATATGCGTGTTGTAATCTTGGGGTTAGATGGTGCTGGAAAAACAAGCATTCTATCAGCTATGAGAGGTATTACGCTTTCCGGACCGCCAATCCCTACAATTGGCTTTAATGTGGAAAATCTAGAGTACAAAAATCTAGTATTTACTTTATGGGATGTTGGTGGACAACAAAAATTTAGACCATTATGGAAACATTACTATCATAATACACAGGCTGTTATTTTTGTTGTTGATGCTAGTGATAGATCTAGATTTAAAGAAGCGCAAAATGAATTATCAAAAATTGTAAATGAACGTGAATTGAAGGATGCTTTGTTTCTTATATATGCTAATAAACAAGTAAGACAAAATTATTTATATTTATTGCTCATATTATATTTGTATTGCTCAAATAATAGTTAATTAATCTTATCAATTTTTCTAATTATTTTTTTTTTTTTTTAATTTTTATAATCTATAATTGTTTTTTTTCTTCTTATTATCATTTTTTTATTTTGTAGGATGTCAGTGGTTGCGCCAGTGTTGAAGAATTAACTGAAATCTTATGTTTGCAAAAATTATGTTGTGGTAGAGCATGGCATATACAAGGTTCATCTTTAATCACAAATGATTGTGGTTCTACACAAGGTTTAGATTGGTTAACTCAACAGTTAGGTGCACATGAAACATTGTATACGATACCAACGATATCGTAAAATTTATTTATTACTATTCTTTTCTATAGAAATGTAGATACAAGATAATAATGAAAGAACATATAAACTTTTGCATTTCCATATTAATATAATTTGTATATTATACATACTATGAATACTTTTGTTATTTAACAATTGTGATAATATTTGAGATATTTATGCATTAAACTATTTGAGTTTGAATTATTATTATCAAGCTATATTATATATAATCAAAAGGCGAAAATAAACAGTCTGAGCATGTCTAGAAAAGACTTATTTATTTTATTACATTGGTTACTTGGTTTTGTATTTATTAATACATAATCATACCAATCGTATTTATATTTATATTTCATTCAGTCATATCTGCACACATCCGATCATTCTTACATTTTAACTGGAGCGAGCTTTTTAATACGCGCGTACACTGTACGGAAATCGAAATAATATATAATATATATATTTATATATATATAATATAGCATCATTAAATTACATCTCAATTATCTTTCAATTGTATATAAAAACACTTGACAAACAAAAACGGAACAACTTAGAGTCTTTTTCTGGAGCTGTGCCATGGGAAGGACATGGGACAAGATGACTCTATGATACATATATGCCATACAGCATATAATGCCATGTATATAATTACGTTCATATAACGTATTTTGATAACACATAATGAGCACTTTGACTTCTTTTTAGACACTTAATGTTTATGATGTAACCTTTCACTGATGAATTTCATGGAACACTATCGAATGATTGAAGATTAGGTTAAAAAGTTTAGGCTATGAAAATGAGGCCATATTTCAAATATAAAAGAAAAACAAAAAAAAGATGAAAAAACTTTGAAAAATTCACTGATATAAAAAATTTTTTATAAGTTTTGTAATTATCTCTTTTTCTTTTTGACTTATTCAATTTAAAGGAATCCATTGATTTTCTGGTAATGATTAATTTTTCTTTTTTTTTTTCATTATTATAATTTTTTGTGTTTTTCATAGAAAGTTAGTGCGTATCGCAGTTACACAGCTCCTGGAATACAGTCTGTGTTCGTATTAATTACGACACATTATTTACAATTCATCATGCTCCTAAAAAAAAAAACAAAAAAGATAATAATGTATTTAAAATTTTGAAAAAAAAAAAAGAAATTATTTAATATCATTCTCAGTAACGAGGAATTCCAGCCATTTTATTAATCAATTTAAATCAGAGCTAAATAATATCATCATAGATTCCAACAAAGAAAGAATTGTTATTAATATTTTTTAAATGGATCTTACTTCAGTATCAGGGACGTTATTTTCCTCTTCATCTGCATCTTCATCATCATCATCATCCTTATTATCTTCATTTTCTTTGCTTTCTTTTTGTCTTTGTTTTCTTTCTTCCTCATCTTGAGCTTCTTTCATCTTTTTCTCACCTTCCTAAAACATGTATAAAATCATAAAATAAATTTATGTTATTTTATATTCGAAAATATGGTAATAGCTATGTTACTTCAGCAACGAGGAATTCCAGCTTTTTATCATTCATTAGAATCAGCAACGCCTTTGACATCATTACATTATTTCTACTAATATTTGATCACAATCTTTTTTTTTTTTGTTACTTACTAAAGTAGGTTTCCAAACTTCTTCACCAAATTTATGAGCAACTTCAGGATCATCTGTGATGAGAACATTATCAAAAATTGTTCCAGATTTCACTTGCCATAGATCAAAACCAATGGCGCAAATTTCATCTCTTTTATATAATTCTGGATCAGGTGTGTATTCAGGATTATCAATTTCTGGGTGAATCCATGGTCCTTTATAGTTAGGATTATCAATTTGTTTTGGTTTCCATTCACCCTTAATATAAAGAAATCAATTAAAATAAATATTTATTTTAATCATCTGTTTAAATTATTATATATTATATATAGCTAACTTTATATTCAGGATTATCAATCATTGGAGCTTCCCATTCTCCATCCATTTCATCATCCCAATCTTCAGGTTTAGTAGCTTCAGGATCAGGAATATGCTCGGGTTTATCCCAATCTTCTGGTTTTTGGTCATCAGGATCAGGAATGGTAGGTTTGTCATCCCAATCTTCAGGTTTGCTCTGAGATGGATCTTTAATTTTTTTTGGTGGAAGGAAATCCCAATCTGCTTCTAGTTCACCAGATTCTACTTCTTCATTATCAATTAGAACCTAGAAAACCAATGAAAATTTGAATAAAATTTCAATAAATATTCCAAGTTTTGAAATGAATTGTGGAATGTCGTTCTTTGCTATTTTAAAAAAATAATGTGATTTATATATACATTTTATAAACAAGATAATCGTTACTCTTCGAGATCTTCAAACATCTATTCACCATAGTAAATTAATGAGAACATGTAATTCTAGGCTCGATATATTTCATAATTTCATTATACTTTTATCTTTTATTTTTTTTACCTTATATGTATTATCAGGTTTGACAATCAAAGTATACAAGTGAGTATAAATGTCATCTTTACAACGAATATCCTTATTAATCAGAAGGTTCTTTCCCTTATAACTGAAGATCACATGAACTTTCTTTGTTCCTGGTCCACAAATATCAGGTCCTGTAGAAAAGCATATATTTAGTAAAAATTATGTTTTTGCTAGAAACATATCAAGTTATATATTTCTTTATAGACAAAAAAATACTTAAAAATTTTTTCAATACATTTACTAAATCAAACATATCATTATTTTTTCAATATGTAATTAAAATATAAATGTATCTTAACTGGTGCCTGAAATATGTATAATTACTATAATCAGGGCATAAGTAAGAATTTATTCTCCGAGATCCATTAGCACTAGTATACAATTATCAAGATATAACCAATGACTCTAGGCTCGGATTTTTAATATTTGTTTAATATAATTATTCTTACCAAACATAATTTGATATGGGCTATCACCATGCATATCTTTTTGATCCAAAGAACAGTCAAATATTTTAACATATCCACCACCACAATCAATATTCTGTTCATGTTTAACAGTAAATTGAATGACAAGTGTTTTGTCTTTGTTATCAAATGGTTTGAATTTTCTACTTAAGGCATAAAATCTTGCATCTTGAGATGTTTGGATACCTGTTTTAGATAAATAAATATAACAAAATAAAAAAATTATAACTAAAAGTGCAATTTATAGTATATAAATTATGTTAAATTATAATTATTTTCAATATTTTTAATAATATAAATAATTTTTATATGAGTTTATTAATTATGCAACAAGTTTCTGCTTGTTACCTTTATCATTTTCTGGATCATTCCAGAATTTTCCATGCCCTAAAATAAACTTTCCAAATTCTTTTCCAGGATGTTCAGAATACACCCAATTTTTTTCCCAGGAATCTGTAAAAATCATTCATTCAATCAATATGAATCAATGATATTAAATCTTGAATCAATTATTCAAGAATATAATCATAATACACTTTTTTATAAATAATTTTATAATAATAATTAATTTTCTATATTTCTAATTTTTCCTTCAAAAATAAATCATAATAAAAAAATTTTAATTTGTAGAAATTTAAAATAATTAGAAAATTATTATTCTCAAATATTAAAATTAAAATCAATATTTTTTTCAATTATCTTATAAAAAAGTTCTAGTTTTAATCGAATCTATATCTTGAATTGAATCAATCGCGATATATAGTTTAACATATTTTCGAAGCATAGATAAGTTTATTTCTCGAAGCATTCACTACAGATCAACCAATCGATTGCGCGTCATGTCGGCGAAACGCAAACCGTATGCTTATGGCCTTTGCCACGAGATGATGGTTCTCATGCCACGTTCGCATTAACTTTGATTTCTTCACCAGGCATATGGCATCATAAACAATTCCAGCACTCGATCATGAAATTGAACATTAATTATGCACAAATTCGTGTACACGGGTGCACAGCATTGCGGAAACGATCGAGGCAAGGGCGTGTGGTTACCAAGGAGAAATACACTATTCGGTCTCGCCTAGAGTCTATTATCAGATTTTCTGGAAAGTACTTCACAATTAACCCATTGAAAATTATCTCAATTAATGACTTGGGTGTGGTTTTTACACAAAAAATTGGCAGAAAAATCTTGTAAATTGTTCTGAATTCTATTTGATCCGAAATAGATGATTTCGAAATGGAGTGAGGAAATTGAAACTACGACCGGAAATATTTCAAAATGTTTACTTACCATCAAAAAATTTTTCTTCAAAGTAGATCTCTGCTGTAGCGATTGTAATCGCCAACAGAAGCAAAAATGAGCAGAAAGATCGCATTTTCAAACGCCGGGACGACAAAAGTCCTATCGACGATGATGCTTACTCTACGACGAACTAGCCGATAATGCTCGATTCGTGGATGTGGTTGGTGAGTTAGTGGCCGCTAAGGTAGACAGATGGAGGGTGTTCATTGGCTAGCATGCAATCACCAATCAGAGCTGACCACGCTCAACCAACAAAGCGCCGCGCCGTGGCAGTTTTAGCCATACCATACGCACATAACCTCACGTCAGCAATTACTTCATTTTATCTATTGTTGATATGATATAAGATTGGGAATAATAATTTAACAAAATTCTTATTGGTTAATTTCTTGTTGATCACTGGTTGGAGCGATATTCAAATAGAACTAAATTTAATTTCTTTTTAATTATTGATTTCTTTTAAATATATAAAATAAAATTATTTAGAATTATTTTATATTAATAATATATAATATAAAGACAAGTTAAGATTATTATATATAGAAATTGTACAATAAATTAAAAAATAATTATATTTATTATTTTTATATTATATTTAAATAATATTATTTATACCTAATTCAATATTTTCCAGTTTCCAGTATTTGTAAACACTCGTATAATTAAACTATAAAACAAATCATTAAATAACAAGTAGCTTATCATACATAATAATATTTGAAAATTATGTAACCAATATTGTTCAAAATTATTTCACGTCTTGTTATAAAATTCAGTCTTTTTTTCTTTCATCGGATATACATTAATAATTTGATTATTTTATCCATGTAAGGAATTAAACTTCTCATTTATTATAGATACTAATCCAACGTTTCGTATTTTTGTTGATGCAACCACTTATTATATCTTAATAGAGGTGAATATCTTCATGAGGCGTATCAAGTTTCAGAGCATATTGTATACAAATTTGTTTCCTTGACAACGACTTCTAGTAGACATATTACTTTTCGGTCAACCTGCCACAAAATTTACAAGTGAAGCCAGTTAAGTCCAGTCAGACCAGAGGAGTCCTCCTCTGCGGATGGATCTAGAAGAAAATAGAAAAAATTAAAAAAAGGAAAAAATGTTGCATTCAAAAGCGACGGCTGCTTTGTTGAGATTGAAGGAAATGGATAGGAAGTATAATATAAAACGCAATGAGGGTAAACGAGTTCACAATAATATTAGTACTGAAAGTTCTCCGGAAAGCTCTCCAAGGGTCCTACAAGTTAATTCTAAGCCTTTAAATAATAAATATAAATCAGAAGATCCAATTTTACCAATTATACTTGCAGAAAAAGAAATAAAGTCTAAGGTTTGATTACAATTTGAGATATTATTTAAAATGATTAATAAAAATCTTCAAGGTCACACAAGATACATTTAAATTTGGAAATTATTAGGAAGAATAAAATTATTTTTAAAATTATTTATATTGATATTTTTTTAGAATCTCAAAAAATTAAAATAATTCTTTTGTAATTTCTAATTTTCAAATAATGCTTATTTTATTTAGTTATTCAATACTTCTACAGGCATCTCCTAAATCCAAAATGGAGATTGAGATTTCAATTAATCATGAAAAAGGTGATGAATCTTCAGTCAATAATAGCTTGACCTTGAAAAAGTCATTTATGTCTCCTGAAACAAAATCCATAATTGAAAATAAAAATATTGAAATTGGGGAGGAAAAAGATATTTCAAAGGCAAAAGTATCTCCTAAGAATATTTTAACTTTGCAAACTATTTCTGAAGTCAAAGTTAAGATTCCTATGTTAGGATCTGGAGATTCCTCACGAAACAGTGATAATTCTTCTGTTGCTACAGTACTTTCCAAACGATCAGATGTTTCTGAAATAATCTCAGAAACTATTAAATCTGTGAACGAGATTTCATCTAGAAAAAGTGACGAGAAATTGAATATATCTAGAATGATAATGATCGAGAATAACGTTTCAATATCTAACATCGATGATAACGAAACGACAATAGAGGAAGTTATCAGAATAAATGAAGAAAAAAGTGAAATCACAACCGAATTATCACATATAATGGATAAAAATATTTCTATAGAAAAAGTTTCTTCTAGAGAGGAACGAAAAATACACTACGAAGATGATACTTTTGAAGAAGCTTCAAGTTCTATTGAATCAGCCAGTTCTGTAGAAGAAAGACTAAAGAATACTTTAGAAGAGGATACTGTAATTTCTGGGGTAAAACAGATCAAGATTACTCCACACAAGCAAACAAAAATTATTCCGAAAACGGTGATCAATGAAGAGAGGTTAAAAATATATTAAGATTTCAATATTTAATTTTCTTTCTTTTTTTCTTTTTTTATTTACAAGATGTAATTAATTAAGAAAAAATAAAATTGAAGAAATCGCAATTATATTCATTTTTAGAGATAGAGAAATCGTGGAAATAGTTCCGCCAAAAATAATGCAGAGCAATAGCGAGTGTGATATCGGTCTTGATGAAGAGCTATCAAATTATGTAAGAACAACAGAAAATGTTGACGAAGCAGTACCTATTAATCTTCTAAAGCTATCTAAACAAATTACACCGATGAAAAAGCACTTCAAAAGGAAAAAGTATAGGAAGTTATCCAATGAAATTGCAGAGGAGAAAACTGACTCTTCCGTGGCTTCTGAATATGATAAATTGGAATGTAAAGAAAACAGCATAGAAACTAATGTAGGAGAGAAAGAATCTATAATATCTATGTAAGAAGCAATTGTTAACCGAAGTTTTTATTTTACGTAAAAATAGAAAAATAAAGTATTTTTTATAAATTTGTTTTCATTGTAGAAAAAGTATAAAAAGTGAAAAAAAGAAAATTTTCTTATTAAATGAACAAAACAAGGAAGAAAACATTGATGGAATAGAAGAAGAAAAATTAAATATTAATATAGAAAATAGAGATTCGGAAATGATTTTCAAAGAAGATAAATTTTTAAGAGAGATTCCAAAACAGTCAGATGTTACTAGTACTTTACGAAAATTGAATAAGGATGCAATTAATGCCATAGTTAGAAGAAATAGGATTCAAATGCCATTAGAAGTTTCAGATAAACCTATACATTATAAAAATTGTAAAACGATAGTGAAGCTTGCTCCTACAAATATAACTACTAACATAGATGATGACAGTGATGCTTCATCTTTAGAAAATATTAAAACGGTAAATTTTTTTAAAAATATATCTTAATATTTTTATATATTTCTTTGATGTGTTATCGTAAATTTTTTAAAAAAATCTTTATAGTTCAAGGAATATAATCACGAAGAAAAAATTAAACAGAAAAAAACTAAAAACAAAAAAACTTCAAAATCATCGAGAAATCGAAAATCATCAAATTATAGCAAAATTGAAGAAAAGCATTCAAAATTCGATTACAAACAAACACATCGTTTAAAAAAATATGCAGCAATTTTAAAATTGCAACAAGAACGTGAAGATATCCGTAATTACTTACTGGAGTTAGAACATACGCGATTAGAATTTGATCCAAATGATTCTATGATATTTCAATTACCTGTTTTTAAACCACTGGAGTTTCCAAAAATTGCAGCATTTATCAAACCTGGTAAATTATTTTTCTTCTTCATGTTTTTATTTTTAATTAAATTCTTTATATTTTTTTAAAATTAATCTATTTTTGAAATATTATATTAATTTATAAATTTAAATAAAGTTATGATGAAATATACCTCTTTTTATTATATAAATGCTAATTTTTTAAATAATAGATATAGAGGATACAAAGTTCAATACTAAAGATGAAGTTGCTGAGTTACAGAAGAGAATATTAATGATAAGGCAATGGCTGAAGGATCAATATATTCTTTATAGGAACTACAGCAATCTAGCACAGACAGTAAATTCAAAATATATTCCTGTTAGCCTAGAGGATGCAAAAAGAGTATGTTTTATTTATATTGTTCTTTTTAATCTACGAAAAAATTTTATAATATGACTGCAAATTTTTACAAAAAATTCTATTCATTAAGAAAACAGAAATATTAAAATAGAAATTATATAAATTCTTTAAAAAAATCTTCATAAAATTTTCTTAACTATCACAGTATAATATTATGCAAAAAAAAAAAAAAAGTAAAAATTATTAATGGAAAATAAATAGAAAGATATATAAAACATGAAATGCAAAAAAAAACAAATCAGGATTTTTTTCTACCGAAAAAAATTTTGTATTCAACAATCATCGAATTTTTAATGAGATAATTCTGTTTCAGACGATTCGCCAGTTACAAAAAGCAACATTTAATAGGTGACTAGTCATTTTTGCAAACTTGGCAACCTACGAGATATGCAATGTAATGTTACTAAATATTATAAACAAACTTCTTGTAATCATGTATTATATTTCCTATGTAATGATTGTCAATTTTTCTTCCATTTTGTTGTGTGTAATAAACTCGTCTTAAAGTTGATTTATTTCTATTTATTTTAGGTTGTATATATATAAAAATTAAGATAATATATTTAATTAATGAAATTGAAACTTGTATAAGATAAAATTTAATTTGGTAGTAAAAATAGAACTTCAAGAATGAATCATAAACTTTATCATATATAAAATTTAGCAATATATATCATATAAAAAATTTCCATTACTATCAATAAAATAGATTGTAAATTAATATTAGTCGTTATAAATTTAAAGATTATTTTATAAAAATCAAAAAAATAATTTAGTTTCCAAAAATATTAAAACGTTCAATCGAATCAATACTTTTATATCATACTGAAAAGAGTCTGGGAAAAGGACAAACTGGCAAACCCTACGCATTCATCCACATTTAAGAGTAATGTGTACGCGTGCGTGTTGCATGCGCACGTGCAGGAGATGGTCGAATGAGAGAGTGGTGGCAATGCCGTTCTTTCATTGACATACTGTTCGCTGCATTCTCCAGTCTTAAGCGAGCCCTTGTACGCTCGCGATCATGGATTAGGTGTTAGTGGCTTTTCTGAATCGATATTAACTCGTACTTGCGTTTGTAACTTTTGATAGTGATTGTAACATCATTTCAAGATTGAAAATACTCATTTTTTCTAAAATAATTTATAATTTGAGTCCAAAAA